TGGCTGGGACAGATTGAACTTGATAGATTTCAGTTTCCTCTTTGTCAGTTTGTGCATTTTACCAATGCCACTGTCACGCACTGACGCAACCCACTATGAAAGACAACCAAGGTTCCCCGCCTCTTTTGTCCCATTCCTGTATATCACAGTCTTGGTTCGGTAGTCATTAGTTAAGGAATTTACGCCATGAGCTGCCAAGTCCCATATTCATACTTCAGCACACATTTCAATAGCTGTACGCAGCATAAATTGCAAGCTTTTGTTTAAAACATGTAACAACGCACATGTGAAGTGCTAAAAGCGAACGTTGGCCTACATGTTCATCGATTATTCACTTCAAGTACCTCAGTATCAGCAATAAACACATACAATTGTTGGGAAACGACAACAACTCGTAAACATGTTTACTTATCCACATTTCGTGAGACAATAAACTCGCCACAATGATCATTTCCCGGAGATATTTTGCGCAGGAAATGTTTACATATTTTTGCGAGCATCTTATCACTTTCAGTAATGCATTCAAAATATTAACATCACTATTTTGCCTTTTACGCCAGTGGAAACCGCAGATCATCGAGACTGGCTATTTGCTGTATTTACAGGTAAATGTCCAAAGAATATAAAGTCGGAAGACGTTTTTAAACAACACATACTATTGAATGTTGATTTTGTCTATTGCGGGAAATGATTATTAGTTGCCAACAGCTGTAGGGACTGGTTACATTAACGGCTATTTAATAAAACGATAAAGAATAGTGAGCCTACTTTTTTCGAACCGTAGGATCAAAATGCAAGAGGATTAGAATGACATATGTTTGATTCCGAAGACAAACGACCGGCCCATAATCCTTGTAATTTTTAAATTCAAATCATTAGAATAGAGTAAGGAGGATTTAAACTGAACATATTTTTGGATTCAGTCATGAAGACGACGAAGATGATGGAACTGTCGACAGTCAACCAAGGGATAACACCAACACCTTTGTTAACTAACTGTCATAAATCCGTGAAAGAAAAGCAATCAAAACATAAAGGTCTGGATCATGCAGTTATGTATTGTTTCTAACGCTATTGAAAATATAGATCTTATGTAACACATGTCAGTTTTAACTTTTACAATATTTAACCCGTCCAAACAAAAGCCATTGTTAGCTTTGTCTTAAACATGCAAACGTATGTTCTCCAGGTTTGAATTATAATCGCTAAAATGTTAATTTATTACCTTTAGATTATTTTTTCGTTTGTTTTCAAACCCATTTCTCAAGAATACTACATTTTCTAAGATATGACATTCCTTATGAATAAAAGATAACATACTATGTGCATTAATGATTATATGATTAAATGTGAGATTTTGAAATGCCAAAATAATTTCTACGTACTTGTTCAATTAGCATGAATTTATTCCCTCGCACCACTGTAAACTTAGACTGATAGGAATCAGGATGTTATTTGGTTCAGTTCCAATTTAGGGGCGGTGGGGTAGCCTAGTGGTTAAAGCGTTGGCTCGTCACGCCGAAGACCCGGGTTCGATTCCCCACATGGGCACAATGTGTTAAGCCCATTTCTGGTGTTCCCCGCCGTGATATTGCTGGAATATTGCTAAAAGCGGCGTAAAACTAAACTCAGTCAGTCAGTCAGTCAGTTCCAATTTAAGCTTAGCGAGCGGTGGGGTAGCCTAGTGGTTAAAGCGTTCGCTCGTCACGCCGAAGACCCAGGTTCGATAACCACAAGGGTACAATGTGTGAGACCCATTTCTTGTGTCCCCCGCCATGATGTTGCTGGAATATTACTAAAAGCAGCGTAAAACCAAACTCCAAAGTTTAGTGAGGAATACAAGTTTGAAACCAATGCCGTACAGGCCGACATGCTGTTATCTGGCTGTTGAAGGTCGATTTTGTCATTCCAAGTTCGCGAAAGGTTAGGCGAGGTGAAATGGGCTTTAACGTCGTACTTGAGAATACTTTGCTCATATGACGACGTGCATGTGTGTATATGAGTGGCTGCTTGTACTATGTAGTTGACTACACCATTGTTGCTAGTTTTATAGTGCTAGCCCACTGAGATACCATGCCGCAGTTAATCATGAATACCCCTCTCAGACACATTATACTGACTCCGAACCGACCAGTCCTTGTTGTACCCATTAATGCCGAGCGCCTTAGGCCTGGACCAACAAGTACCATATTTTAACATCTTTTGGGGATCGAACCCGCGACCTTCCGCTCTCCGAGCGACGCTCTAACCACTACACCACGGAGGCGGCCTCACGAAAGGTCGCTCTGAGTTCACCAGTTGATGTTCTCAGATCTTTCATTGAACGATGGCAAACACCATGCTATGAGTTCGACGAGACTGTCTTCAAGCCATCAAGAGGGAAGTGAATCTGGACTAGATTGATAATTCCTGTGAATTTGCAGCATATTCCAGGCATATATTCCAGAAACGTAGCATTGCACACGAACATTCCCATGTCAGTTATGGACAATAGTTGTACAGGAAACTACGCTTGTAACGAACGTTCTTATAACGAATTGACGGATGTAACAACTGGCTTTTCTCCTGATATATGCTGTATGTTTTACTCGATGTGTACAACAAACTACGGTTGTAACGAACTAAAATAGTGGCCCCTTTGAGTTCGTTATAACCGTAGTTTACAGTATTACACTTAACGACAGGATGAAACTTCAGCTGTATGGAAACCTCCCAGAGTAAAATCTAACAGTAAACCTTCACAAGTTAATTCTCCTTCGCCGACTATGTACAATTTACTTGAGTGAGTGGCTTGGTTTAAAGTAACGGTTATCATTATTTCATATATATCACAGCGTGCCAAGTTGATGCGGGTCAAAGACATTTGCTATTTTGGTGAACTCATACCAACATAATCATGGTGAATCTTAGGTTTCTGGCACACCCAAGGGACGCAACTCTTCATGTCAAAATATGGCGCATGAAACAACCGAACCACTAATGTTTACAGTAAACTGTGGCTAATATAACGCAAAAATCAAATAGTTTTTCGATGGTTATGTATTTGATACCGGTATCATAGAGGTGTTTTGCATCTTAGGTAAGTCGTGTTTCGGCGACGGTGCCCAGACGACATGCATTTGTTGTACGGTCGTTTCTCTTTGGTATTTTACGTTAAAACATACATGTGAGGTGAGGTGAAATTGGGTTTAACGTCGTGCTTGAGAATATTTCGCTCATATGACGACGTGCATGCGTGTGTATGTGTATGTGCGGCTGCTTGTACTAGCCCAGACTGAAGCTGGTTTTATAGTGCTAGCCCACTGAGATACCATGCCGCAGTGAAGCATTGATACCCCACTCAGACACAGTATACTGACTCCGAGCCGACCAGTCCTTGTTGTACCCATTAATGCCAAGCGCCAAGCAGGTACCAACAAGTACCATATTTTAACGTCTTTTGGTATGACGCGGTCGGGGATCGAACCCGCGACCTTCCGCTCTCCGGGCGGACGCTCTAACCACTACACCGTTAAAACATACAGATATGTGTGTGATTATCCTGATTAATTTCGTATGCATGGATAAAGAAGTCATGAATAAAAGATTAAAATTATATTTTTTGGCGTATAGCAATCGATAAGGAAGCGGAACGAACAATACTTGTTTTCTGAAAAACTATTTTCGTGGTTATTGTTTTGAGGTTCTTTCGTCGCTATGTCTGAAATGGTGACGAGCGGGGTTTGTTTTTAAAGCTGATTAATTAGTTCCAGCAGGTGAAAAGCTGCCGGTATGAACAAGGCGTTTCTATGGGGATAATAGAAGCTACACAGAGAGTTCCCGGATGTAAATGTTGGACAATGAACCAAAGAACCTGGAACTTTCGAAAATCACAGGTCCTCTCTCTGCTGTGAAATATTTATACCACATGTCCGCGAATACGTAATCTTATCTTGCCTCATCGCTGGCATTCGTCACAAACACATACAAAGGCAAGTCAAGTGTTCAGAACAAACATGGTGACATCAGGGAATCATGGTCACTAATGCCTCAAAGTTTAACATTGTCTACCCTAAATCATTTTGAAAGCTTTAATGCGCCCTTGCATACTGTGAGCCTAATCAAACAACCCTCGTCTCATTAAAACCCTCCTAGTAAACGCATGCTCGATTTTACTTCAAAAGTTGTGACATTCAGACACCCAATGCAGGTGCCATGACCCTGGACGCTTCCCTGTTTTGTTGTCCGTCACACGGACTTCTTGCCACTCACCATTTTAAATTTTGGAACTATTCTACCACGTATGAACTTCAACGGATCATAAAGGATATTGAAAGTTTGAAACTTAGTATGGGCATTCCACCGATTGTAATTGTGTGGAGGTAGTCGTTTTCATGTCAATATCAGTTTTCCATAACTTCCGTCTTGTGCCAGATTTTGGTTTTGTGACATTGTCTGATTATGGTTCATAGGTTATTAAGCATGCACGGAATTTCCAACGAATACAGCAATGTAAGGAACCAGACAAAAATATATATGCGATATATACTTTATCAGCTGATGTACAAGATGTTTTAATCAACACTTCTTTATGTTTTTATTCTGACACGTGAAGATTCGGGTTAGAATTGGTTCAGCAACCCATGCCTGTCGTAAGAGGCGACTAACGGGTTCGGGCGGTCATGCTCACTGACTTGGTTGACAAATATCGTATCCCAACTGCTTAGATCGATACTCGTGATATTGATCACTGGATTGTCTGGTCCAGTCACGATTATTTACAGACCGCCGCCATTTGGTTGGAATATTGCCGAGTAGATAAACAATCATTTTATGCTAAAAACATATTTCATATTTTCTCAAATCGAAATGTTTTCACTATTCGTTAAATACGATATATGTGAAAACGTTTATGTAAACACCCGCGATAAAACGTTCATATAGCTGGAAAAAATAGAAAACTATTTGTAGCATCAGCTAGTAAAATGTACAAACGCATTATGAAACTGTTGTCAGTTTACCTGCTAGAGTCGTGCACAAATACTCCACCCACACCGCTCCCAGGCATGTGACAATGTAGTTCTAGACAAGATGGCTACCCGCAATCCCCACTGATCGATCGTTCACATCAGCAATGCTGACAAGCCCACGTCAGCGGTGGAACCTGACACCAACATGTGTACATTGCAGCATTGGTGAAACGAGACTACTTGCTTAAGGGTGGAGTGATTGAGGTAAATTTCATTTTGTACAACAAAGGTCAAATGCCTACGGGTCTGTGGAATTCTCTTTGACTTTTATTCCTCTAAGCCATTGAATACTTGAATGGTTTGGAAGGGGGGGAGGGGGTGCGCTTCTTGGTAAGGGGAGGGGATGATGATGCTTGTCCGACCTCATGAACACCGACGAGATGAGCAACTAACGGGATCGGGTGATCTGGTCCGGTCTTTTGGTTGATGACAATCATTGTCTCCAGTTGCTCCTGATGTCACTCACTGGGTAGTCCTGGCATGATGTTAATATTGATAAACCATTGTCAATATTGATAACCATTGTCATACAGGTGAAACAATACTGAATCCAGCGTTACACAATCAAACCAACAAGGCAGGAATAGTGGAATACCTCATTGTTTTTAGTAAGAGAAAGTCACAAGGAAACCAATTCAGCAGCACCAATGTCCAGAAATGTAGAACTCTATCTTTACTGTAGAATTTACTGTAGATCGTAAAATATTGATAGTTAATTTAACACCCGAATAACCTGTACGTTTTGAGATCATCGAGTAAGTGGTGATCGATCTACTGGTCGTTGACTTGATGGTCAAATCAAACTCCCCTTTGTTGTCATTGTCATTGTGGTGTAAATGGACCATAGATGATTTGGTAAAATCAGGTCACACAAAGCCGTGTCACGTGTGTCTTCCATATTGGAGACACTGAGTATAAGGACCACGCTCTAAAAGGAAATAAAAATATCATCTGTGTAGATGACACTTATATGTATGTAGAAACTTCATTTATGTATGAACAATAAACTACGATTATAACGAACTACTGGAACGCATTTGTGAGTGAGTGAGTGAGTTAGTTTTGTTTTACGCCGCTTTTAGCAATATTCCAGCAATATCACGGCGGGGGACACAGAAATGTACCCATGTTGGGAATCGAACCCGGATCTTCGGCGTGATGGGCAAACGCTTTAACCACTAGGCTACCACACCGCCTGGAACACATTTGTGTATCCCACAACTTGCTGACTATTTTGATCAAAATGAATATAACAAACTACGGTTATATGGATATAGCATTATTGGTTCATTATTACCGACGTTATTACATGATATTAAAATCGTGAGCGTCCTTACTCGTACATTAGATTTCCTTCTACGTAAATTAAGTCATACACAGAGATGGGCGTGGCCATATTTTCAAAGATACCATCAGGTGGATAAACCACATAGCTCATATTTTTTTAGACATGGGCATGATACACTTCCATAGACTCAGTTGCCTGGTGAATAAACGTCAGGGAGAAGACACTCTTGATGTGCCACTGGTATTAATGGTATTATAGAAAATAGGCCAGGGTTGTATACACAGGATGAAATGTACTAACTGCTATTTCTACACTATCGATTGTTTGCAGGATCAAACGTCACATATACAATATATAATCAAAGGGGAAGGTTTATGTTTATATGTCTCAAAGTTCATGTTTGGGTCTTGATTACACTATAATTACAATTACTGAAGGGTGTCGAAATGTGTTTGTGTATTTATGTGATTTCTTCCTTGAAATCTACGTGCTATCAAAACGTTTTGTGGAATGTCTTCTTTTCGTAATTCCCCTTACAGATGCAACGTGGAACACAAATTAGAGACAATTGGAGGGGTAAAAACCCTTGAAACACCTAGCACCTCAACATACGGGGATCCCGCTTATATCCCTCAACGTGTCTACAGGCGTTTTGGGCAGCGTTATGATCAAGCCTGTGTCATGGAGAAGAATCACATTGGGGTGGTTCGTAATTGTTTTGGGTGGGCTAAGTGCAGGTCAAAGATCCCCTTTAGTTGTTCAGGGCAATTTGACAGGTGTGGGCTATCAGATGCGCGGACCAGTGACAATTCCTTTTCTTCAACGTCATAGCCGAGGATTGATATTCGAACAGTATAATTCCCATCTTCACACTGCGAGGGTTGTTTGGTTTTTCTTCAACAGCACAATGTATACTGTCTTGGCCTATGGAGTATGTGCGGGATGAGACGGAGCGACGTCTACGCCGTGTACCGAATCCACCCGATGTCGTTTATGATTTGCCTATAGAGATAGTCTATAGAGGTTCCTGTTGTACACGTGTTCTCATCACGACAATGTTTCCTCCTCCAACAGGTTGATCTGAACCACAGCAGATGGGTACACTCATCACTTCGTCTCCTCCACACTCCATCGGTGACAGAATGATTGAACCGTGATTCGTCTGAGTAGACAACTTCTGGCCACTGTTGATGGTGCATAAGCAAGTAATGTGAGGCCCACAATAGATGATGAGTCAGTATGCCCCCAGCATCTGATTCACGCTGCCCTTAGATGACGACGAACGGTGTCGACAGACATGGGATCACGTGGACCTTGAATTGATCTAGCTCTCATTGCTGCTCGTCGCTGTCCGTCACGCAGAGGTGTCACCCGGATGTAACGGACCTGAGCTGCAGTAGCGACCCTCGGCAGTCCAGGCGGGTCATGCACACTGCGCGTCTATTGTTGCCTTGCAACCAGTCCGGTGACATCCAAAGTACCTCGTCACTGCAGTTGACGTTGATCCTGTTTGTAGCGGCCTAAAGTCTCTCCGGAGTTCAGCTTGTCGAACCGTTTTTCCTCCCTGTTTTCAAAGCCAATTGTGTAAGTGCTTGGGTGTTTTTATAATGGTGACTTATGAAAGATGAACCATTGTGGAAATGCACCGACTTGTGCATGTGATTTGCTATGCACTTGCAAACAACTTCCAAAGAAGACCAAAAGACTGCGTTCCTGCGACATCATTTTCTAAATGAATGTTTCCTTACGTTTGATACAATTTTTCTCACAAATTAGTATTTGTGCATTTTACAAACAAAATATTAAACTTAACAAGGCATATCTGACGAAAAATAGTATTTTTTAAAAACAAAAACATATCCATGCTCTAACGGTACTCTAACGTTCTTCACTATAGCAACATCAATAAATCACATAAAAACTTTCAAAAAGCAATCATTTATCACCATAATCGTCAAATGAAAAATCATTACACCATCAACTTCAGTCTCCTTATATCGCCAAGGATACCTTCCTCTGTGAATAGACACAAAGCTCTCCGTGTGGCCAAGACACTACGAGGATCTATTATGAATCAAGCTTCATCGGAAACCTACGTAGGCGCCATGCACGACTATCACTTTAGCCCCAAACGTGATCTAACGCAGCAAAACGTAAATCTAAATACCAAAAGAATCCTATTTTTCACGCACACTGATTTGAAATCAATATAATCTTTATTGTCGTAGGGCTTACCTGTCCGTTATGCTTCACCAGAACCTTTCATAATCCTATCAGAAGGAATTGATTGGGTATCAATTGACACGACTGAGGTTGACGGCCAAGGAAACGACGTTGACTTCGCGGATGAGGACAATTGACAAAACAGCCCAGTACAACGGAAGCACGACACGGTGAATATAGACTCGGGCTGATATGCGTTTAACACGTCACTGGTCAGGAGGCTGCCCTTACATGAATCTAAACAGTAATGGTACTTCCACCTGCACTGTGGACTCCTTGGTTTCACGGTACATAGATAATCTCACCCAAGTGTCTTTTGATGTCAAATGTATATCAACATTCGTCGATAAAAGTATGAAACTCCCCAATTTAGATACATCAACATTCGTCAATAAAAGTATGAACTCCCCAATTTAAATATATCAACATTCGTCAATAAAAGTATGAACTCCCCAATTTAGATATATCAACATTCGTCAATAAAAGTATGAAACTCCCTAAGTTAGATATATCAACATTCGTCAATAAAAGTATGAAACTCCCTAAGTTAGATATATCAACATTCGTCAATAAAAGTATGAAACTCCCTAAGTTAGATATATCAACATTCGTCAATAAAAGTATGAAACTCCCTAAGTTAGATATATCAACATTCGTCAATGAAAAAAAGTATGAAACATTTAGATATATCAAACGTATGAAACTCCCTAAGTTAGATATATCAACATTCGTCAATAAAAGTATGAAACTCCCTAAGTTAGATATATCAACATTCGTCAATAAAAGTATGAAACTCCCTAAGTTAGATATATCAACATTCGTCGATAAAAGTATGAAACCCCCAAAATTAGACATATCAACACTTGTCGATAAAAGTATGAAACTCCACAACTTAGACATATCAACACTAGTCGATAAAAGATAAACGCCAACAAAAATGTTGTTTAGCAATTTTTATAACAAAGATATTTCAAATTTAAGACTAGAGAGACATAAGTTTAATCCCTATCGTACGACTTTATTATGTACATTATTATGCTCTGTATTTGACTACCCCCAGGTTTATGCACCAAGTCTATATTGCTACTCAAGACGTTTGTACGTCACTAACTATACATTATTTTTCAATGTGTATATTCATTCATCCATATGTATTTGTAAACGACTACATGAAATGTACCACCACAAGACGCTCACGCCACTAAACAGTCTGTATTGCCATGTACTCTCGGCCTCATGGCCTCATATACGAATAAAGTCTGGCTGTCTGTCTGATAAAAGATAAAAGTCATGGCTTACCAAGCTAAGGGACAAACGTTAGGCACGTTATACATGATATTTTGAGGAAAAAATATTTACCCACTCACCTAACCTCTATTCTTAATAAAACAAAGTTTTCGAAAATATTATCTGCAAACACACCTCGAGACATTGTAAATTTATCAAAATATACCATTCATCTATCATCTTTTGTAAGAAAAATGTTAATATGTTGTTTTCTTTTGTTTGTCTACCATCTTGAATTTGAATTTGTATTTGAATATATGTTTACGATATATGCTCTTGTATCACCAATG